ATAAACATGTTTGTTGTCTTTATTTTTTGTGTATTCACTGTACTGTATTGAACAAAATGGTTATGCGGCCCGCTGTGAAAAACGTTTAGTGACCCCTGCATTAGATCGTCAGAATCTTTGAAAATTCGTAATACTAGACATTGTACGTAATAGAGTAAATTTAATTTTAAGTAATCGTTGTAACATCAAAAAGCACAGAGGTTCACAAAAAGTAATTAAAAAAGAAAACATTAAAACTGAATACATTCAGAATGTGTACTTTCCTTCCTTTTTCATTTATCTCTGAAAATATTTTTCTTTCTTCCATTTATCTCTGAAAATATTTTTCTTTCTTCCATTTATCTCTAAAAATATTTTTCTTTCTTATATTTAGTTTTGAAGATCCTTATGAGTCCATCTCCTAAAGCGCTTCTGGTTTAATGTTTTTTGTTTTGTTTTTTTTCATTTCTCATATGTGCGAATGTTTCATCATATTTATATGTAACATTCTAAGAAATACAGAATAAATTGGAATTTTTTACAATATCTTAAGTTCAAACCTTTCCTATAGTTACTTACCTGAAACAATTAGTAACTTGATTTAGTGCCTTTATTATTGGCAAATTAGTGCATGTATTAATCAGGAGCGGATTCAGGGAGGCTCGTGATATTTCGAGTTTGACAGTTAACAGTATCACGCTATTGCCCTCAATCATTTAACACTGCAGTAAACGTCCCTTTTAATACTGAAACCAAACTTGTTATTAACAAGTCCAAAACCGAAAGCAATCGTTAGCTTTTAGTTCAAGCAAAGTATAAGTTTTAGACATGCGCAATATGGCGATTTTGTAATTCACGGATGATTTTTGCTGTTGTTGTTGAATTTCGCGCAAATACTGGAGGGCTATCTGCGCTAGCTATCACTAATTTTGAAGCGATAGACTAGAGGGAAGACAGCTAGTTAACGCCACTCACACCATCTCTTGGGGTATTTTTTTATCAACGAATATTTTGATTGACCGTCACATCATAATGTCCCCACGGCTGTAAGGTCGAGCATTTTTGGTGACAGGTTTCGATCCTACAACCCACAGATTGCGCTTCGAGCACCCAAACAACCAGATCATCCTCATGGACGAGAGACTTTAACACACAAACCCTCTCTAATACATAACTTCGACAATTGTTATAGATAGTGGAGCGCGCTTTTTCCAACAAAATATAAACATTTCTAGACAAATATTAAGTTTCAACAATACACTAGTCTACGTACGTACTGCAGACAACAATTAATAGTGTACAAACTTTAAACAATAAAGGATGCTTACATATAATTTTTAACAGTACTTTCTTTATTCGGTCCTTTTCGATTTTTCCAAGAAGAAGTATAATAGTATTTCAACCACACTTTGCCCACTCTATCCATTACCAAATACTATTGTATCATAAAAAATATATTTGATTATGATCAGAACTCCTATCTTCTATGTTCTCCCTTAAATTCATAAAAAAGAAGAAAACAGGGTCAACCTATTGTATCCGCATGAAGTTGCCCTACAGAATAAATGTCCTATTACCTTGACGACATTTTAACGCAAGTATACAAACATACAATATGGGTCACCACTCATACAATTCCTTTAATCAAAACATACACTTGCTTGAAAGAAACACTACAATTTCAAATGCATTTAAAACCATGGAATAAAGGAATAAAAAGTTAATACCATAGTGATACTCGATCACATTGGTACGACTAAAGCCCGGCATGACTGGATGGTTAGGGCGCTCGGCTCGCAATCTGCGAGTCGCGGATTCGAATCCCCGTCACACCAAACATGCTCGCCTTTTCAGCCGTGGGGGTGTTATAATGTAACGGTCAATCCCACGGTAAAAGAGTAGTCCAAGAGTTGGTGGTGGGTGGTGATAACTAGTTGCCTTCCCTCTAGTCTTACACTGCTAAATTATTGACGAAATTCGTAAGAAACAAACAAACTTACGACTAAAAAACTATGTTTTGACAATAATGGTTACAAATCAAAACAAAAGACATGGAAACTTTCTTCTTTAATAGAGGCTATATATTCTGACACTTTGTCATCCATGATGTAGCCAGCAAAATTGTTTCACTTTCAACTCTACCCAAACCTAACACACACTGATTATATTCCACTTTGTGCCAAAATACCACCAGACCAACAAGAGGATCAAAGACGTTATACTAAACAACTACAAACTACTTACTGAAAACCCAACCACTAAATATATTTTCAAAGATCCACCCACGATTGCTTACAGATATGAAACATACCCAAAAGACATTTTGGTACACAGCAGTTTTAAACAAAAACAATATGATACTTTAGCCACTCAAACATGTAAACGAAGCATATAAACAGCACCAGATATATACAAGAGAAAAAGGGGAAAAAATCAACATAAGACAATTCATTACATGTGCTCCTGAATTTATCATTTCTTGTAAAGTTTGTAAAAACTTGTAATACTTTATAAATTGAACAAACAGGACACCGACTCGTTGAGCGAGCACGTGAACGTCTAAGCCAGTGTTTCTCAAACTTTTCCAATATCATTCACCCCTATAAGTTTTTCACAACAGCTCACTCACCCCAGTTCAAAAAAAAAGACAAAAAAGTACTGAATTAAAATGCAAAATTCTTTATTATGACTTAAATAAACATCAAATTACAATTAGGATAAATATAAATAAATAAATACTTTTTTTGCTCTTGAATTTAATGTATAATTGATAATACTCATTCACCCTGATTCTGATCTCAGTAACTCCTCGGTGAGCCATTCATCAGTTCAGAAGCATTGGTCTAAGATATATTAAACCGCAGAACCAAGATACACTTAAAACAGCCATTACAACAGACAATCAAATAAAGAGATTCTTTATATGTTGTATTTAAAGCAAAAATACTAAATCTCTAATGTTGAAATACTAACCAAAGGGAAGAAAGACATTCAGCAACACCCTATCATCTACAATCCAAGCACTCACAGTTAAAGTGCAGGGATAGTTCAAAATGCTGTGCTCACAATATTTGAACTTAATATATACGATTTTGTTCCAGCTTTTGTGATTTGACGAAGAGCGTTAGTTCGAAATGTAATCTAGTTTGTTTGTTTGTTTTGAATTTCGCGCAAAGCTACACGAGGGCTATCTGCGCTAGCCGTCCCTAATTTAGCATCACCACCCACCGCCAACTCTTAAGCTACTCTTTTACCAACTAATAGTGGGATTGACCGTCACATTATAACAGATTGCGAGCCGAGCGCCCTAATCACCTGGCCATGCCGGGCCTAAATGTAATCTTCCAGAAATAGATATATATAAAGTTTTTGGTATAGCAATTATAAAAGGGAAATACTTTTAATTGAATTGCTTCCGGTTTTAATTCTTAATAGAGATTGGTGTGTGATCTTCGATTATACCAGGGAAGAGCCAAGTTTAAAATATAATCTTGTTTATTTGAAGATAAAAATGCATTTCTATTACAAGTCAGAAATGCAGTCAGTGTCGCGTTAAGGAACTGGTGAGCCCTGGACAAAGTCTAAACTAGTGCTCTCCCCCCATTGCTTTTAAGAAAATGCCATATAATTTCATAAACTAAATTTATTAGTTATAAAAAAATAAGGTAAATATATTTGAAAAAATAGTTTATTATTGTTTTATTATACGCTTCATATTTTATTATTTGTTATTATACTCGCAACATGCAGTAGACCTCTGACGGCTGTGGGCCCTGGGTAACTGCTACTTCTGCCCATTGGATAAAACGGTCCTGAATACAGTAACCTAAATCATACCCAGAAATACGGAATTCATAATGCCTAGTTTTTACCTCTAACTTTAAAAAAATTCTCTGGGTAGGCCTGAATCGCCTAGCAGGTGGGGAAACTATCCTTCTATACCCCATCTCAGCGATTTTCGCCTCGAAGAAATGCCTTCGTTTAGAGCCGTAATAGTAACCCCTCCCCAAATTCCTGGTTCTATCCCTGTTAGTAATCTTAAAAATTAACGAAGTGAGCAGGCAATGAAAAATATTTGAATACGTATATCTTTCTTTCATTAAAATGGACTTCATAAAATTTATACTATTTTGTGTTATGTATTTTGAATAGAAAAACAAGACAGAATTATTCGTTTTAAACATTTGTGACTAGATTGTTTTTGAGAATTTTACTCCGTTCGAATTAAATAAGTAATAGAATATCAGAGGTCGCTTTTGTCGGCTTTTTTTCCCCCCGTTCTTTTTCTGTAAATTCTGTTCTTGAAATGGCAGCGACAAGGCGTTTACAAAAGGTAAAACGAATATTTAAATTTGTTTGAACTGCTTTAGTTTTTGTTTCGTATGTACGTTAATTTCATTTTTATAACATTAGTATATTATATATATACATATATATATGTGTGTGTCCGTTAAACTTACGGGGAAAATAATACACAACTGACAATCCAATATTATTAAAAATTTATATATTAATTATTATTACTATTATTTTGTTACTGCTAGTTAATAAGTTAGTATTGTACTGCAAATTACGTTGTATAACCCAATATTTACTTAGAATATATTGTTGGTTACATAATTACGTATAGCTTCATAAGTTACATTTAACAGTAACAGATAATTTAGAGCACAGTCGCAATTACCAGTTATGAATTCAGACGTAACCTAATTAAAAAAAAGGAACAGAACTGAGAAGCCATACATACTCGAGTCTACTGAAGTGGCTAAACTTCAAACATTCTGTGCAATAACCCCAATTCTATAGCTGTTTTTAATCTAAAATAGAAAAGAAATGCTGAGAAAGGTTTTAGAATCACAGCAATAAAATACAATTGCGTGGGAACTAGAAACAACTAATCTTTCTTAGGCCTGTGGTCATATGGGTTTAAAGCATAGATATCCTGGAGACTTACAAACATTCAATTTTCAGTGTCCAAAGGAATGTTTGGGTATGTAGTACATTGGGACATCCATGAGCACTGTAATGATTTGTATAGAGAGATAATTACCCATTTTTACTTGTAACCAACATACTTTTCAATACAGCATAGAATTCTGTTAGCTTTGCTAATAACTACAGACATTTCCTTGAAGGTTTGGGTCACTATGCCTATACCTTTTCTTCAGTCAACCTATTGAGTGGGTTTCCATCTATATTAAAATGTGCATGTGTGTGGAATTTATAGCTCCAGTCACTCGGGGGAACAAGAAGTTTTACTGTTATACTTTGCCCATTGGACATGTAGTTTTTTGTTTGTTTTTTAACATCATTGATTTTGTTGCTAGGAAGACATTCCAGGTATATTTCTGTGCAAGTTCCTGAAAATTCTGAACTGTGGAAGTCTAAAACTGTATACCTCAAAAACTCGACCCAAAACTAGACACAAATATATACATCTCTCTAGTTCATAAACTCTTAGTCACACACACACAGTAACAAATATATTTAGATTAATACAACAATATTATTACATTGCACTTCTTTACAATAGGAGCCTAGTAAAGTTTGGTAGTATATGATTCAAGTCAATCCAAATATTTCCCATAAAATGCTCAGAGTTGGAAATGTTAAATGTTGTGAAAACAGAGGGAAATATTGAAAAGCACAGTTGTCTCATAGCCTTCAATAAAACCTTGCCATTAGCATCGACTAGGTGCCCAATTCACATTTTGACATGTTACTTACGTTGATCATACGTTACAATAAGTTCTTGTTAGTTTTAACATTTATCAGTCTTATTTTGCAATTTCTCATTAATCTCATCTGTTTGGTTAGGGGGTCTATAACAATAGCTTCTTGAATACCATCTTGTATGTTTTCATTCCCAATAGGATGCAGTTTGTTTCTTATATAAACAGTCACCCCAGCCCTTTAAAAATCTATTATTATTAAATAATTTATAACCTGAAACCTCAAAATAGTTCCTCTTTTCGGTATTCTCCAAATCTGACCAAGTTTTAATAATCCACAGTTATGCAATACTAAATACATTTACACAGTTCTGTTATTTCTATTTTTTGTAAAGCTTAACAAGTGAAATGCCCTAAAGACTATAATCAAAAATAAGTTGTAAATTAATGAAACAGTTGTATGTAATAAGCTCACCAGAAGTACTTGATGTACATATAGAAGAATAAATGGATAGCTTTCATGTAACATACTCATCACTTTTTTATATATAGGCTATTTGTGGAGAGTAGAAGACAATTCAAATACTGTATATTTGTTTAAGAAACAAACAAAATAAGTTTTGCTAAAGAACCTTCATGATTCTAGTATTTAGTGTACCTTTTTCATGATTTTGCTATTGACTTGCAGTTCTAATTTATTCAAATGTAATTAGAAGTTTACATGGTTTCTATAGACAGAACTGTTCTTTCTCTTATATTAACATTATTTTAGTGGAATTTAAACATGTATCATAAATATAATAATTGATATTCAGAAACATTTAAACATATTAAAAAAATTATCATTATCTTTAAAGTTAAGAAAATTTTCATTTTTATAATTTTCTTGTTATTAAACACTTTGAAGCTCATAAATATTTATTACTCAAGTGTCAAAATATGAACTTATTTGCTTATTAAATGAATGATTTTGAAACTGCTCAGTTTTTAAAAAGTAATTCTAATAATTATAATATCATAAACAATATTTGTTAATTTAATAAATTCTTTTTTTTTTTCTAAAGTTAATACAGGAATATTGATTCACAGAATGATAATTTCAAAGGTCAAATTTTCTTGTATGTAGTGAATTTTAAAGACGAAACTCTTTAAATTGATCATTGCTATTCTATGTTTTTAAAACCATTGTTTGTGTTTTGATGGAACAAAAAATATTTCAAGCATACTTTGTATTGTTTTTTTGTTGTTCTTGGTAAAGGTACAAAAACTTTGCTTAGTTTCATGTATAATTTATTAGAATGGTGTTATTAATGCAGGAACTACAGGATATTCGAAAGTCAGCAATGAAGTCATTCAGAAATATACATGTAGATGAAAGCAATATCCTAGTGTGGCAGGGTCTAATTTTGCCTGTAAGTTTTCATCTGTGATAAATATAATGATAATTTTTATTATTAGTTCCTTTCTAGTCTTATTGTTAACACAGTATATTATGTACAATGAGCCATAAAAAAATGCTAGAATTATATCTAGAATTTTACATCTTTTAGTATGGCATAAAATGTTTTACTTCTTTTGTTATTTTAGAAGCTACTGTGCATGTGTAATTTCATTTTTATGTATCCAGTGCTGCTAAATTATGTTTGGGAAAAGATTTATGAATTCAATAAAAGTTCTGTTTTACTAAGGCTTTGGATGGAAAGTTTAATAAACTACAGCCTTCAGAAGGTGTTTAAACAGAAAAGTTAATGTATCCATGTTAATAATGAACCAACAGTAGGAAGTCATATATTTAAAATAATTATTTAATTCTGTCACCATTTGAGTATACTAAGAAGGAATTTTAAACAGAAAATCATTGGTTTTTGTCATCCTTTAGAAGATTACTTTAAAATGACCTGCCTTTACAGGTTATTGTTTACAACCATTTTAAAATTTTATTTGCTTGTTTAAAATACAAAAAACTGTGATAATGATATGAAAAGACTACAGTAAAAATAATTGTTGTAGAATGTTAGTAAAAACCTCTTAATTACATGCTGTTTATTGAAAGAATCAATTTTCATATGCTATTGATAAAAAAAAACTTATTTTACAGCTTTACCCCTGCCTTTCTACAATGTTATGATCCCACCAACTCCTTTGTCAGGTCAGGGTTCTCCAAGAGCATGTGACACGTACTGCTCCCTTCTGTGGTTTCCAAGTCCATTTATTTCTTCTGTGAAATCCTCACCTCTTCTGTGACCTTTTCCCATCACCCTTCTGTTTTGACTTCACCAGTTCATTTTTCTGGCATTTTCTTTCCTTTCTTCTGATGGTTGTCACCTTTTCGTGTTTCCCTTTTATTAGATCTATCACCTTACCATGTCCCTGGCTGCACATTTCCATCTTCCCTTGGAGGATCTCATCATAGCTTCAACTGTTTATCTGTATTGGGAAGTACTCCATTCATTTTCTTTGCAGGAGCCTTTATTGCATATTTGAATCCTACTCTGTGGTGAATGTTGCCTGACCAGGTACACTTAGTCTTAAATCTGCACTGTACAATCCGTGAATATGCTAGATGACTATGACATTGAGACTATTCCCACCGCAGACTTAAGGTACCATTCCAGAGGTCACCAGGTGTGAGTTGATCAACTCCATCCAATATCTCCTCTATGCATCGATATAAAATATAGAAAAAGAAACAAAATTACATGTCACGAGGTCATCTTACACCCACCATTGAGATGGGGTGTTCTGTTGGACCACTTGTAGGTGTACCTCATGGTGCTTTGCTTCGTAAATATAGTTGTCCCGGACTGTACACTCATGGATTAGCACGAGTAAAGCAGACAGGGATCTCTGCCCATCTCTGATGTTCTGTGGCATTTGACACTTGCCCTGCTGTGGACCTGATGTACAGTTCCAGGTGGTGCCAGGTGTTGGATGATGCACTCCATCAAAGTGATCACTCTGCTTTTCAATATAGGGTCTTTCGATCACCCATTGCACTGTCTCCGGTGTTGCAGTGCTCTGGACTTTCCAACACATTATTTCCTTCCTTCTTCTAGTGGAGTATGGGAGTCCTTGCCACTTACAAGTTCCTAATTGCTGGGGTGGTGGACTATGGAGGCCTATCCTCCTGAGTGTGTACGATACCACTCAGTTCAGAGTAGGGTGGTGGCATTCTGTTAGTGTCAATGGCGTGATAGCCTTCTTATTGCGAACCTGATGTACCATTCCAGATGCTGTCAGATGTTGGATGTAGCACTCTGCCATATATATATATATAATTAAAAAAAGAAATTCAGATTGCCCCTCTGGCTGAGACATCCTCCTCCCTACCATCCTCTGGATGTCGGTTCACAGGGATCTAGTGTTGGTCAGAGATGGCCCGACCACATAAGTCCTCACTCACTTGTGTTTTGCTGGTATCCTCCTCCTACCACAAACTGGACGTTAAATTCCCAGTGCTGCCAGGTTTTGGACTGGAGATGCAACCCCAAAATTGTAGTCCCTCTTCCTACAATCTGCTGGATGTCTGTTCCTAGTGGACCTGGTGTTGGCTGTAGCTGGATGAGACACATGACTTCCTGCTTGTGTAAGGCTGGGTACCATCCTCCTACCATTGACTGGAAGACCAAATTCCCAATGCCGCCAAGTTTTGGACCAAAGATGAACACCCTCCTAGGCTCTCCTCCTTCCTATCAGATGCATGTTCCTGGTGGATCTGGTGTTGGAGGTACGCACATGTGGAAATGGGCTCTTGGTATGGGAGCTCCTCTTCCTTGCCGCTACTCACTTTTGAGATGAAAGGTAGAAGCCCCTATTACTACCAATGACCTGGTGTAAAGTTTCATATGCTACCAGGTTTTAGTTAAGGTCAAACTCACACTTACAGTCTGTCATGTCCTAGCCACTCTACACCAGGTGGTCCGATTATTTTTATTTTTTCTTGATGTCCCTCCATGTTTCTGCCCTGTTGGTGACACATTACAAATGGGTGAAGAGTATACCTGGTTCAGAAGTGGCGCTGTCTCCCACAGGTGTGTTTTCAGCTCCTTATCACACCTCATGGTCTTCCTTTGGGAGGTAAGGTATCTATTGGAAATACATTTTTAGTTTAGGAAAACATTAACTTTAGATTGTTCAGAAAAATTTTAGTTAAGTGTAACTTCTGAAGTAAAAAAATACAAGTATAAAATGTTTTTAAAAATTTTACAGGATAATGCACCATATAACAAAGGAGCTTTCCGTATAGAAATCAACTTTCCTGCAGAATACCCATTCAAGCCTCCAAAAATCACATTTCGTACAAAGATTTATCACCCAAACATTGATGAAAAAGGCCAAGTATGCCTACCCATCATCAGTGCAGAAAATTGGAAACCAGCAACGAAAACAGATCAAGGTAAAAAAAATTATAAAAAGATAGTTAATAACAATTTTTAGTTTTTTATATGTCATAAGTAAAAAATGTTAATAATTATGAGTACATCTGATTACAAATTAGCTTTCTGTTACCAACACGTTTTTACTTGGCTTATTTTCAATAATCTACTATTGCTGCTGAGATTGCTAATAGCCAATAGAATCATGTAAGTCTAAGTATCAGTTAGTTACTTTATTTTTTTTATTATGAGGTACTAATTATTAACTAGTTTATATTTTACGTTCCAGCTGTTAATCTGCTGCCATTTTCTGAGAAGGACTGTTTGTGATGGCTATGATCCTGGGTCTTGATAGAAAGTCTTATGTGCTATCTTCTCATTCAGCTCTACCTTATTATAACTTGAACCAACTAACTATTGCTATACTTTCAGGAAGGTGGAGGGGTGGTCCATATTTTGCTGACTTTGATGGTAGATTGACCGTGTTTTCAGTCAGGTGTATGTAGAAAGCATATTTTATCTTTCTTTTTCTTGTCTGTGGTTCACATCTCATTATGTTTGTATTATTCCAATTTATTGTATGGTCATCTTTGGCATAATGGACTGTTGCAGACAGAGCTGGATTATAATGCCTTGTATGTCTATTATGCATCTGAATTCTAACTTCTGTTATTATTTTTGTTTCTCCAAGCTGTTGGTGTCCTCATTCACATAGAATTGTGTAAATAATATTTTTTGTTATCTACTGGATGTTTAGGTGTGTTAGAGGTTCTAACTGCATTCATAATGAGGCTTCTGAATACTGTTCTGTATATATGCTGTTTACATATCCTCTGTACATTTTCAAGAAAACCTTTGACATAAGAGAATATGGCTGCTTATTCTTGATATTTATATTTTATTAAATACTAACTACATGTAGCTTACATCCTTCATTTCAGCTGCTAACCTGCTGCCATTTTCAGGGAAGTCCTGAGAAGGATTGTGTTGGTGGTTGCAGTGACTGGAATTTGATTGTGGGTTCTTCTTAGAATATAAATTAGTTTATCAATTAGTAGCTACTAATGATAAAAAGTAACTAATTAATAATTAGACTTATACAATCATATAAAACTGTGTAAGAAATTATGCATGGTGGTTGTTGAAAGATAAAAAAGAAGTATGTTGTAGGTTAAACCACTAAACACAACAAGATGTTAACTACAGAATATATATATTTATGATACCTGTTGTTGTAGATACAAATTTTCGGGCAATGCCCTTCATTAGGTATCTCTAGCTGAACAGTAAAACCATAAACAAAAAGTTATAAATTGAAAGTCGTGTGACAATATAGCAAACAAACATGTCTAACAATGTTTACAAACACTTGAAACAATATGAGAGAATTAGGAAGTTACATATATTACATACTTACACAAATAAACTGAGAATTTGGTAAAAGTAAAAAAAAATGAGGAGTAGTCGACACAAGTTATAAGAAAACATCTATGAAAAAATAATAAAGGATTAGCTAAATACATAATTTATTATATGATAGTTGTAAGATAAGTTTAAAACTGAAGGATAGAAACATTGCAAAAAGCTAAAAAATTTAATTTATCCCATCGAGGTGGATAGTTCCCAGGTCAAAAAATTTTATATTATGAAGTTCATGTTTGTATTTGTTGGTAGTAGCCTTCTTCAAAACAAGTATTTTAAAATGTTCAAGGTATAGTGTCAAGCCACTGGTTTATCTGTGTTACGCTTCGTTATGTCTCGGATGTTCCTGAGTCCATTCTGCTAATAATATACTGATTCCTTCTGAGTAACATTAGCCAACTTCCAATCCTCTGGCACCTACCCACTATTCGAGGACTTACAAAAAATAGTAGCAAGTGACTCACATATCCAATCCTTAACTTCCTTCAACATGCTTGGGGAAATATTATCTGGACCAGGAGCCTTACCATTTTTTAAACTTCTCAATTTTTTTGTAACATGCTCATAATTAATGTAATCATCTTGTTTGATCTTGTTTCCATCTATCAACTGTTCAAGATGAGGAATATTGCTTAAATCTTCATTAGTAAAAACGGAAGAAAAAACATAAATTAATAACCCAGCCATCTTATAATTTTCAGGTACGAGCCTTCCTTTATCATCCCTAAAAGGTCTACTCCCATCCTTTAGTGGTATTGAACATAATTCCTGTTTATCATAGTCATCTGTAGTACTGTTATGTTCAACATAATTCTGTTTATTATAATCATCTTTAGTATTGTTAAAAATAGTTCTGTTTATTATAATCATCTTTAGTATTGTTAAAAATAATTCTGTTTATTATAATCATCTTTAGTATTGTTAAAAATAGTTCTGTTTATTATAATCATCTTTAGTATTGTTAAAAATAGTTCTGTTTATAATAATCACCTTCATCACTGTTAAACATAGTTCTGTTTATCATAGTCATCTGTAGTACTGTTATGTTAAACATAATTCTGTTTATTATAATCATCTTTAGTATTGTTAAAAATAGTTCTGTTTATTATAATCATCTTTAGTATTGTTAAAAATAGTTCTGTTTATAATAATCATCTGTAATATTGTTAAACATAGTTCTGTTTATTATAATCATCTTTAGTACTGTTAAACATAGTCTGTTTATCATAGTCATCTGTAATATTGTTAAACATAGTTCTGTTTATTATAATCATCTTTAGTATTGTTAAAAATAGTTCTGTTTATTATAATCATCTTTAGTATTGTTAAAAATAGTTCTGTTTATAATAATCTCCTTCAGCACTGTTAAACATAGTTCTGTTTATCATAGTCATCTGTAATATTGTTAAAGATAGTTCTGTTTATCATAGCCATGTGTGATACTGTTAAACATAGTTCTGTTTTTATAGACATCTGTAGTATTGTTAAATATAGTTCTGCTTACTATATTCTTTTTTACTACTTTTAAACATAGCAACTTGTATTTGATGATGCTGTATTAAAGGAGGTAAAGAATAAATAGTTCTGTCTGTTTAGAACTGGTGTATATTATTGTGATATCAGACTGATTATTTATCATTAGAGAAAAAAGATGATGACTGAAAATTACTACTTAAATTTTTTTAGCATTTATATAAAGTAAAACAAATGAAGACATACCAAAAGAAATTTCATCAAGGTAACATAAATTGCTTAATATGAAATGTAGTTTATTGTAGCTTACAGCTTTGTATGATGAAGAAAGCCTGAATGGTAAATCTAGTTATATAAGTGGATAGCCTCAAAATTATGTAAATCAAATAATGAGTACATATACAAATATAAAACCAAATCAACTACCATACTTAGATATATATATAACTCCATGGGGGCATTCTCCATAATTGACTGAGTCAGGTTGATAGTGCCTAATTCTACATTTTGTAAATGGTTTAGTTTCTGTTACTTAATGAGATAAATACGTATTTTGTATTTTACAAAACATATCTTTAAAATGTTATCTTTTTTATGTTGTTTCAGGAGGTTACTCTCTTGCTTTCAAGTAAAAGAAAAGGTTTTATTGAATGATATTAGTTTCAGAAATATGCATGTAGATTATTTGATTTTCTCTCCACTTTTAGATAACAATGAGAGGTTTTAGTAAAAGAACAGAGAAACTTTGATGTATTAAAACTGTCTTTCATAACTATGTGTATATACACAGACAAACACACTTTTGCTTTAATATCTATTTATATCTACCCTGTTTAATGACAAAATGGTTCTGGTAGTAATCTAGACATGAAAGTAAGTCTTTCAGATTGTGCGAGTTTATTGGAAGTTTTGTGTAATTTTTCACATTACTTTAGTTAAAGATGATACTCATTAGAGTTATATCTTGAGTTTTTACTGTTTATCTTGTCAAGTGAAATATTTTACCAGACTCTTGATCATAACTTCGTTTTTGTAAACATCTTTTTTTTTTTCTTAGTGATTCAGGCATTAGTGGCTCTAGTCAATGATCCAGAACCAGAACATCCTCTTAGGGCTGATTTAGCTGAAGAATATGCCAAGGACAGAAAAAAGTTCTTTAAGAACGCTGAAGAGTTTACAAAGAAGTTCTCTGAAAAACGGCCATCTGATTAACTAATATCTTTTACTTTTTAAGTACCACAAACAAACACTATTAAAACAGAAAATAAAAGAAGAAACATACAAAACTCTGTATAGTATTCTAATGCATACTGAAAAAAATATCATCAACACTCCAGCACCAAAGGTATAAAAACTCCAGATGACATAGCTGGTAAAAGGAAACTTTTTCCTTTTGATGATATAACCTGAATCAAATGTTGTTTAGTAGTGATTATTTAAATTAAGTGTATCAGTGATTTATGTACATTGAATTAAAGTTTTAGGTTTCTCAGTAATACAAATGTAAGTTTGCCTAGTATGAGGAATCTTTACAATGAGGTTTTAAACTCATAATAAGTTTCCTCTTATATACTTGAGTTGTCTGAGCTTTTCTTTAACCTAGTTTCATAACAGAGGATATCTCCAAGATTTGTATACAAGTGAAAACAAATACTGTTGTCCAGTAAAAAATATATAGTTATCTATGCCTTGTTGTAATTGTTTGGAATATGTGTGTATAGATTTCATTGATTACAGTAAAAGTTCTTTAATAAAATTCAGTTATTCAGCTCAGTGGACTTTAAGACCAAAATCACATTTTTAAAGGTATGAATAACTTAAAGTATGTGATTTTGCAACAGACTTTAAAAATAATTCTTAATTCTCTGAAATAATTATGCAAAATCACTTAATGTGTCTTATGTAGAATTACACCTATAACTGTTTTACCTGATTTAGAATCATGCACTTAGTGTACTATTTCCCCGCAATAAATGTACAAGTTAAAAATACTAAAAATTTGTATTGACATCAAATTATATTAACAGACAAGAAGAATCCTAACAAGACAGTTATTAGTTATACTTGGCCTTTCGTATTTCAAAAATTAGATTCAGTGTTAGGTTATAATTTTGAAAAGCAAAGGAGTGGATTGTTTGTTTGTTTATTTTTTTCCAACAAGTTTGTGATATTTACATCTCGGAAATACTGTATATAAATACAGTTCAGTGTTTTTACGTTATACGTGAATACTGTTTTGGTACGAAGGATAATTATGTCTTCATATACCCTTGGTGTATGGTACAGTCTAGCACACTGATAATGATTCCTCAGTATGCAGTATGAGTATTTTTTTCGGTGTGAACTAAACACTTGTCCTTATGATCAGCATAAAATGTAGTTTAAATATTGTATTAGTTTGTGAAAAATAGAAACTTAACTCCATGAGAATCTATGTAGCCTCAGTATTCTTATCATACAGTTTGTATTGAGAGTGTATTTCCTAAAGGTTTTTAATTGATTTAAGTATCATAATTTTAATGATAACTATATTAATATTAAAGGACAAATAAAAATGAATAATTAATTATTTAAAACTATGGGTTTGTGTTTGGTAAATGTGTTTTAATTGCAGTTTTAGATCAGGTTTAGGAGATTACTGCTTGCTCAGGATGGAGCATTAGTCAGGAGCCAGAGAACTAGAAAATGTTCTTTACCTACAATAATCTTTCTAAAAATTTAAAGAATGGCATAGCTAAAAAATATAATCCCACATTTTTTTATATGTTGTATGTAAAAACAATCATAGATCCAGTGTGAAAAGTATGAGCCTTAATGATCAAGGCTTTCTAAAGTAAATGTTTTACACATTCACCCACAAACACCACATTATGCTTGTTTGATGTGTAAACAGAAAAATATGTGTTACATAAATAATGCATCTGATTAAACATAGTAAGTCACTTCCCCTGAAACACAAGAAAAATACCAATTATAATTTTATCAAGTAATATATGATAGGTAGTTGTGATATAATTATTGTTGTTCATCATATTTTTAAAAGTTGAAACTACAAAATTATATGTGTACCACTTAGAACAATACCTTACATCACAAAAAATATTGACTTAACAGTCTTAGATCAAATATTGATACTTTACCAACTTCATAGATAAACACTGATCAAGATTAAAAAAATTGATATTGTAAGTCCTGTTAGTGTTAAGTTGTTTTTTTGACTGTAATACTGTTGAGAATGTCTTGAGTAACCTCTGCTACTTTAACAAGTGTTATAATAACATTTCACTGTACTTTTTCAGTACATGCTTAGTTATTACTAAACTGGTGCTAAAAAGCCTTCATGTTAAAATTAAATTTAAACTGTTCCAATGATAGTTAGGAATTCTGTGAACTAGTTGTAAAAAGTCATGTGAACGAGTGGGAAATTTGAAAGTGAAATGTTGGCAATTATCATTATGCTACATGTTATCTGGGGCTGACAAGGGGAATAAATGTAGGGGCCAAATTACTTTTTATGCTAGGCAGGAATCTTTTGTAGTTATGTCACAGGCTAAATAGATACAATATTAAATACACTTCATATGTATAAAATATGAATGGCAAAAAAAAATAATTTTGCACTTTTTCATTTATCAATAGATATATGTGCATTTAGTTTGTGAAGAAGTAAAGTTTTAAGATATATAACAAAACCTACTTAACATTTAGTTTATGGCATATATATATATATATATTTTTTTTTTCCTGTCAAATAAATACCAGGAATAGTAAAAATAGCTATCCATAAACAATAACTGTTTTGATACACACAAAAAGTAACAACTTATGCTCAATTTAATTTTGTTTAGGTTGATTCTGTTAAAAGTAAATTTTTTTGCAAAAACAAAACATTTCTGTTAGGTAGAGAAAAAAAAGTTCTGAATGGCAATGTTGGACCTTCAGTAGCTTTATTAACCTACATAACTCAAAATTTTATATTGGAGAACATAGTGTACTCCTAATGTAAAACTTATAGATGCATAAGAGAACTTGATATACACTGTCCAACACACACTGTTATAAAAACTACTCAAATAATCAATACAGTGAGTTGCAAGGTTTTGCAATTACATGGTGAAAGTCATTGAAATAGCTTCAAATAAAGGCTATGTTGACAACTATATTAAATTGCAAGGGAAAGGCATGACCAAGTGGTTAGAATGTTGGAAGGTTTGAACTATACACCTGGAAAAAAGTTAAGCACCCCCGTGTTTTTTTCAAGTGATTCAGATTCGACGTTCTTGTGACTGATTATAAATTACCATTCAATCTAAACGTGTTTATCAAATGAAATTATGCATTATTGGGCACAAGAAAACAAGATTATCACCGTAAAATAACAATTTTTAATTTACATATCATGACATTAAAATATGGACAGTTCTCACGCTTAAAATTATCTTTAATAAGTATTGTCAGTGAAAGCTCAAAAACGTTATTGAATTGTCAAATCACATTACAAAATGTCAATCATGACACACACATTGATAATTAGTCATCGAAAAGTCAATATCGGGTATATCCACCGTTTGCCTGGATGACTGCTGCAACCCTGCGCCGCATACTGCCAGTTAGACGTCTGATTTGTTGAAGCGTTATCTGTCGCCATTCTCGGTGCAAGTGATCTTCTAACTGTTGCAATGTCCGTGGAGGAGGCTCCAAAGCCTGTATTCGCCTACCCAATTGGTCCCACAGATGCTCTATAGGGGTGAGATCTGGACTTCTTGCTGGCCAAGGAAGAGTGTTGACGGATTCATTCTCTAAAT